ATTTGCGTACAAGATAGCCAGTCTCAGGGCTGGATTCAGACAGCTGCTGATGGTACTGTGTGTGTGTCTAGGCTTTAACGTTTGAGAAGTTATTTGTCTTTCTTTCTAAGCATCTGATTCTTTGTCTATCCAGGGCTGCCAGTTTGTGGCGGTTGCTGATGAGGATTCCAATATGATGATCCATGACCTTTTTTTTTTTTTTTTTTTTTTTTGCGGTACGCGGGCTTCTCACTGTTGTGGCCTCTCCCGTTGCGGAGCACAGGCTCCGGACGCGCAGGCTCAGCGGCCATGGCTCACAGGCCCAGCCGCTCCACGGCATGTGGGATCTTCCCGGACTGGGGCACAAACCCACGTCCCGTGCATCAGCAGGCGGACTCTCAACCACTGCACCACCAGGGAAGCCCTCCTTGACCATTTTTAGTCCCCCCGCCCCTCCTTCAGCCCACAGCTATGGAACCTCCCTCCTACCCTCCCTCTGTGAATTCTCAGGGAAGGTAATGAACCTTAATGTCACCTTGGCCTAGGCCAACCTTGCTATACACTCAGAGGCTTAGAAGCAGCAAATGGAAATGTAGGAGGCCTGGTTTCTGACCTTGAGATGACAAAATTAGGAAGGTCAATTGTCTGAGGTCCCCCACCCCCAAATAATATATCTTTTTTTAATTGAAGTATAGTTGAAGTACAATATTATGTAAGTTATATATATTATATATAAGGTGTACAGTATAGTGATTCACAATTTTTAAATGTTATGCTCCATTTATAGCAATTATAAAACATTGGCTATATTCCCCGTGTTGTACAATATATCCTTGTAGCTTATTTTATACCTAATAGTTTACACCTCTTAGTTCCCTACCCCTATATTGCCCTTCCCTCTTCCCCTCCCCACTGGTAACCACTGATTTGTTCCTTATAACTGTGAGTCTGTTTCTTTTTCTTTTATATTCAGTAGTTTGTTGTATTTTTTAGATTCCTCATGTAAGTGATAACATACAGTATTTGTCTTTCTCTGTCTGACTTATTTCACTTAGCATAATACCCTCCAGGTCCATCCATGTTGTTGCAAATGGCAAAATTTCATTCTTTTTTATGGCTGAGTAGTATTCCATTATATATATATGTGTGTGTGTGTCACATCTTCTTTATCCATTCATCTGTTGATGGACGCTTAGGTTGCTTCCATATCTTGGCAATTATAAACAATGCTGCTATGAACATTGGGGTGCATGTATCTTTTCCAATTAGTGTTTTTGTTTCTTTTGGATATATACCCAGGAATGCAATTGCTGGGTCATACAGTAGTTCTATTTTTAGTTTTTTGAGAAACCTCCTAAATTCTTGAAACAAAACTTGAAATGATTGGATCCATGTCCTCTTTTTTATCTAACCACTCTCAGCTTGTAGGAACAGGAGAAAGCTTGCAGAGTTTTTGATACCTACTACAATTCACCTGTTCTAGGCTGAAACTTGGGAAGGGTTGCATGCATAGTCTATGTTCCTCTGGAATATTATTTGCTGCCACCATATGTAAGACATCCATTCCTGAAGAATAGATCACATATTATTTAGTGGGGTCAAGAAAAGAAACAGGGGTCCCAGGAGTTACTTCTCATCCCTTTCCCCATCCTATGAGAGCCAGAGCACACCCAGGCTGAGGCTGTGTTGCCTGTAGCCAGATGCCCCAACTCTCAGGGACACCCCAGCCTCTAGGAGCTGGCAGCGCTCCTTTCACAGAGAAGCAGGAGGAACAGCCAGTGGGGCTGAGGCCGACCTCTGTTCACACGCCCACCTTCAGCGTCCTCAACACATTTAGAGAAAGTGTCTGATCAGAGGGAAGAGATACTGCAGATTTTAGGAAAAGGAAAATTTCTTTAAAAGCTCATACCAATCCAAAAGCGGCCTGACAAAGGACCACAGGTGTCATTTTTATGATGCTTCTTCCTTTCTGTCGTGTGTTTCCTGGAAGGGCTGGGGAAGGGCTGGTCTGTCCGTAAGCAGGACCCGTGGTTCTTCCCCGGCCAGCTGTGTGTGGCCACAGGCAGAGCCTCGGGACTCCATCTGGGGAGCCTTGCAGAAGGACAGCTGCTAGTGCTTTTACACTCTGGGCGGGTAGAGAAGGAATCGGAGAGCAGCCTCGTCTTCCCCTCTGACTGAGCCCCTTGAGCTCTCAGCGGGGCTGGGCTCAGTTTAGCGCACCTTGTTCCTCGATACCCGTCCAGGTGTAGGCAGGGACCCACACACAGGCCCTGTGAGTGTGCGGCTCAGCGGGCCTTCCTCTGCCATCTCTGACTGACTGTACTTGGCTTTCAGCCTCTCCGGGCACTTCCTGGGACCACCCACAATTCCCCTTCATCGTTGCTCAAGTTTGTTTTTCTAGTTGGATTAGTCTAAGAGTAAACGCCATAGGCCTTCTGGCCCTCCAAAAAAACAAAACAAAACAAAACAAAACAAAAACAGAAAAAACATTCTGTGTAAAGTGAAAATTAGACTCTTAAATCTGCAAAGAAAGCTGTTTATCTTACAAATTCATTCTTTTTATTGGGCCACACATATCCAAGATAGAAAGATAAAAGGAAAACAGATACAGGCCATTGCTTAGAGTGACATATAGTGAGATACAGCTCATCCTCACCTTCTGTAAAGCCGGCGGGAGCGCAGGGCAGCGGCCTTATCTGTCTATTTATCTCTATTGTGCCCTGGGCCGGGGCTCACCAAAAGCTGCAGTGGAAATATGTTCCCCACACTCTCTATTCTCTTCTGTTGGACAGCCCTGCCTTGGACTGCTCCCCAGGGGCTCCGACGGAGGAGGATCTGGGGAAGGTGCTCAGCTGCAGACCGTGGGACACGAGGACAGGCAGGGATGCAACATCAAAAACCCACACCTGCCTACTCCTGTCCTGAAGTCAACACTTAGTTCTGCTCATCATTCAAATGGACAGCTCATGGCCTCCTACCTTAAATAGGGTGTCTTAACCCTGTTGCAGGGAGCACTTGGCAGAATTTTAATCAGGCTCGTTGTTATTTTAAGCTGACCTCATGATACCACAAAAGGAATGAGTAATGCTGGGAGGGCAAATGCAACAGGTTTGGGGTTGGTGTGGCTTGGGGGTGGTGGAGGGAGATGGGTAAGAGATGGCCTCTCAGCTGTTTATAACTAGGATGCGGTTGACTTGGAATTGGCATCTGGCATCTGGCCATTGTTCTCCTGGGCTCTCAACAGACTGGCTCTTTAAGACAGAGGTGGTGGCAGCCCTGGTGGACTTGACCTGCGGACAGGGACTTCCTGCTAGGACTGCATGTGGGACATTTGTTTGCCGTGACCTGGCAACACTCTCTTGTGCCTGTTATCCCTTATCAGCAGCCCAATAGCCATCTTTGGTAGTCTCTCCACAGTCATGTGGACAACCACAAAGCTAGTGCCAGGTCGAGTGAGTTCTAGATGTGGATGAACTGTGTCCCCCTCCCTGTGTAAAATTACGAGGAAAAAAAAAAAAGCTGGGCAGTTAGACCTTTTGAACAGCTTTTCCAAGGATGGTTAGAAGAGTTGTGGAGAATAGGATTAAAAGTGAGCCTTCAAGGAAAATTTCTAGGGTGATGATGCCATCGTGCACAGTCCAAATTCAGAGAGGATGCTCGAAGCCAAAGGGTTTCCACGGTTGCACCGAGCAAACATCCAAATAAGAATTAAGTGCGACTGCCTTCATCTTGTTCATGGCCTGTAAGTCTGTCCCTTTCGGCTGTGAGCAGAGAACACCAGGAACGGATGTTGAAGAATAAAAGCAATTTGCATTTTCCATTGCTTGGAAGGTACAAATCTTGTTTTTTTTTGCTCTCTGCAGAACTCACAGGTCTGCTTATTATCCCAGAAGGTCCCCTTGTTCTCATGGTGAAATCTACCAGGAGACCTAGAGGGTGGGCCGGAAGCTGCGGCCAGGACCCTGCCAGCCTCGGGAGCTTGGGTTATGTGCCAGGCGGCAGCCTCCAGCCCTGCGGGGAGGCCAGAGGAGAAGGCTTGCCTGCCTCCCCTTCTCGAGATGCAGAGTCCCAGCTCCTGCCCTGCTCCCCTGATGTCGCCTCTTTGACAACATGATGTCAGGCCTCGGGTGTTGCAATAACATATCCTCCAACCACTAGATATTTTCACAGTTTTATTTACTATTATGTCCCATCATTTCTGTGCAGAAGGCAGCCGTATGTAAATTTTATTCCATTTTCTAATGGTTTGGGTTACATAACAAATAACAGCAGGAAGGAAAATTTGTATCGATACTTTACAGAGGAAGTTCTCAGGTCACTGCACAAAGATTTAACTGCAGTGCTCTAAGTTTATGGGAGTTTTGCAGCTGAGTTTCTGCACATGACTTTGAATATGTCACTATATGTTTATCATGGGCTAATTGTGGAACCGCATTTCCATACTTTTTCTTCTCCCTTTCATGAGATTACACCAGCCAGCGATGGAGGCAAGACTCTACAAGGAAGAAATGATCCGTTTGGGATAATTTTCTTTCCTGTCCCAAAATAGCTGTACGTCTGCATGTCTTGGGGACTCAGCCGAGACACATTTTTTTTCATTTGTTGCCTGATATAATGCAAATGTGATTTCGATCCTATAGCAAACTCTCCAGCTAGTCCATATTATAAATTAATCAGACTCAACAACCACCAACATTTTTAAACTTTTGAAAAAAAATGTTTAATAGGAGCTAAGCAAAAGAAGAAATCAAACCAGCTGCTGACACAGCTGTTTCTTTTCTTGTTTAATTCAGTTCAATATAAAGGTACCATATGCTGCTTAAAATGATGATAGGAAAGATGAAATAATTTAAGAGAATAACAAGAAAATACGTGAATTGTCAGCATTCTGTCAGATTGAAAGAATGAAATAGACAGGTGTACTATTGACACGTTTAGCCTTGTGTGGTGTTGGCAGTTTTGGTGCGAACAACTTCTGACATGTGCTGAAGTGATGTGAGAATATTTCTCCTCCATTGCAGACATTGGAGAGGAGGCTGGGAGATCTGCCGGCGTCCAGCAGCCCGCACTGCTTCGAGACAGGAGCCTGGGCTCGGCCATGAAGGACTGCCCGTACTGTGGGAAAACCTTCCGGACATCCCATCACCTAAAGGTCCACCTGAGGATACACACAGGTGAGGGATCCAGGTGCACAGCTCGAAGGAGGAGGCCCAGGGCTGCCATGCCCCTGTCCTCGGTCCACCCTCTGTGGGCCTATCCGTGCACCATTGTGTGGGTCTGAACCGACCCTAACGACCCAGTTCTTTACTCCATACTCACCCCCCTGAATGACACATGGGCATGTGGACATGGATCTCCCATGGTCCAGGCCTGGGATGATGATGCTTTGTCCGAGGCCCTGTGACATTTTGCTGATGGCATCCTTCTGCTGCACTGAAGTAGCGCCTCCCACATCCTCACATGGACCAGGGGTCTTTCAGGTGCAGATGATGAGAACCCAGCTCAAACCCTAAATATACAAGGGCACGTAGGAGGTCTTTGAAGGCAGGCTGGCTTCTAGCCCAGCTGGGGTGACGTGCCTACACCTGGGACTGGATAGATGGAGAGGAGGGTGGGTGGCTCTCCACTGGGTCTCCTCAAAAGAAAACTCGAGACGCTCTTAACCAAGCCACTGGACCACTGTGGTCATTTCCCCTGTTACGGCGTTGTCCGAGCCCCTCAAGGTGAGGGCTTCTCTTGGTCTCTCTGTCTTGTCTCTCGGTCATGGTTCTTGTGAGCTTTTCTGCTAGTTGTTTGCACATTGCCAATACAAAAAAAAATATCTCTGACATATGGACACCTCCATTTTCTTTGATTTTTCTCCTGACACTTTATCTATTGGAGTGTGAGCTGCTTCAGAGGATAGACAAATATGCCATCTATTTTCAAAAATAATTGTGGTCTGTTTCCCAAGGAATCAATAAAGCTTAGGGTTGTGAAGGATATTTAGTGTGTACGGGCCTCATGTGCAGCATGTGGTTAAAGACAAGGCGCCCTCACCTGGACCCTCACCTGTGCCTGCAAATCTCCCTGACACCCAGAGGAGCCCTGAGGACAGGTGGCAGTGGGATGGGCTGCTGTCTTTATTCTCAGCCTGGGTGCAGTTGGGCATCACCACTGTCCCTCCCTGTCCTGGAGCACTTCTCTCATGGGGTCACCCCAGGGCAAAGAGGGGTCTCCTAAAATTACGCGCCAAGCTTGCTCACTCTCCAGGGTCCATGGGACCCGACCCACCTTGCCCATCTTCACCCTTATCACCACCCTGCGACCCCATTGCCTTCTTCCTGCTCCTCCAATGCAGAGTGCTTGCTTCTGCCGCAGGACCTCTGCACCTACTGCCCCCTCCACCTGGAATGTTCTTCCTCCAGGTGGTCACTGGGGGCTTAGCGTCATGTGATCTCTTCAGAGAGATTGCGTGACTACCCTGCCTGAAATATCCCTCATGCCCCTGCTTTATTTTCTCCATAGACTTAACACCTTCTGAAATTATCTTGTTCAGTTCAGTTGTTCATTTCCTTCTGTGTTGTCTGTCTTCCACCAAGTAGAATGTGAAGGTGTAATATTATCCATCTATTTAATTGCTGTAGAACCCCGGGGCCTACAAGAGCACCTTGCAGTAAACTGCAGCTTACGGGGGCATGGTACATTTATTTGAGAGGTTGAATGACAGAACAAATAAGTGAGTGACCCTACTCCTGCAATGCCTGCCCTGTGACGGGTAGCACAGAGGGGACAAGTGCAGTGGGGAACATGGACCCTTCCCTAGGGAACCTGTGGTTCTTTGGGAAAGGTACCCTGCACACGTGAGCTGGTCAGAAGCCACAGTGTGGCAGCCAGGCTGCAGGTGCTAGATTTCTGGCTATGGATGGAAGACCTTTCCGCAGGAGCTTCATGAGGAGTCCCTTAGTTCCTGCCTCAGGGCCTTTGCACTTCTCCGTAAGATAGGTCACCAGCTTGCACCTTCACCTTCAGAGTTTGGCACCAATGTCCCCTTCTCAGTAAGCTCTTCCCAGTGATGGGGCTCAAGGAGAGGCAGCTCAGCTTTCTCAGATCATGGTAATTTCCACTTTCCTCCCCAGGTTGGAGCCGGGTCCCCTAGTGTTGTGGTGGTTGGGAGGGACCCACAGACCGTCAGGACATGGGAGACAGTCCACCAGGGCACCCACGGTCTCACTGCCTACAGGAGTGTGGAGACCTGGCCAGGCGGGTGCTGTGATACTTCCCTTTCATGTGATGTGGATACAGGCTCCTGGGCCAGGTTTCCCAGGTTCAGGATGGCTCACAACAGGCGAGGCCGGCCCTGCCGGGGAGTGTGGGTCTGGAAGGAAAGGGGCAGTGCCTCCCAACCAGGAGCTCTGCTGCCTCTGGGGGCCCCTACCCCCATCAGCTTGCCTGTGGTTCGAGTGGAAACGCCACAGAATATTCTTGGTAAATTAGGACTGAAGCTGGCAGAAAGAAGTCTTGCTGAACCTGGGTAGAAACAAATGGATACTGTTTTTAGAAGTTTTAAAGCTTGAGAAAGATTATGTTTTTCCAAACTTCTGCTTCTTTTGCGTCACAAACTTCCGAAGTTTGTGATCAATAGTCTTTGGAGACACAGAGAGAAGCAAGACAGGGCCACGGACAGAGGCATTCCAGAAACTTCCCAGAATAAGGGTGAAAATGAAAGAAGCCATGGAAACATCACACCACCAGCCCTCCTCGGAAACAGAATTTGCAGTGTTTAAAAGGCAGAATGGTAACCAGATAAAGATCAATTTCCTTTTATCAAAGAACAAAGAAGTTGGAAAATGCTTACACTTGCGCTTCTGAACAGAACAGAAAGTGTTACACGTTATAAATCACCAGAGTAAAACATCCATTATGACAATATAAAAGTGTAGATCACGTGTAATTAAAAATCAAAATCAAGTGGCTTGTTAATGAATGAGTTAATAGGGGCCCCAGTTGTGGAGATGTCCTGTACTGCCTTCCCCTTCCTCTTTGCGGTTTTGTATTTCCCAGTGACATGGCCAGAGGACAGCAGTCTCCAAAATAGAAGAGTTGTTTTCCAAGATGCCATCTTTTGAAGTTTTTCTATAATGGACCCATACGAGCACATTAAAAATCCAATGTGTAATAAATATATTTTAATTGGTCTGGATATGAGGTGGAACATTCTCTGTGTCTTTCTGTCCTACTCCATCTCTATGGGAAGTTTTGATCGTATAGCATCAACTCTGATAAAAACACTTTCCATTATTAACTCCACTACATTAACTCAGTTACTGCTCTTCTTCTCCCAACACCTGTTTAGTAGAGAGGTTCTGAGCAGACGCACCAGTCAGGTTGCTTTGAACACCTGTGGGCTGGGCAGAGCCTGCAGGTAGCAAGAACGTTTCTGTTGGCCCCCAAGCTCCAGCCAGGTCCATGCGTGATGGAGGGGAGGCACCCAGAGTACCCTCACATCCTAGGGGCTGCCCCTCTCTGGCTCCTGCAGGGCAGACGTTGATTGCTGCCCACACAGGGAAGGCTGAACTTCTCTCCTATTTGAAGATTGGGCTGATTAGGACCCAATCACTGGACGTGTGCGATTTGTCTTCTAGAGTACGCTGCCGGTGATTGGAATTCAGAGCCAGTCAGTAAGGAGACTTTGTCAGTTAGGGTTCTCCAGGGAAACAGTGTGCGTGTGTGTGCATGTGTGTGTGTATACACATCTATGTACATGTACATACATACACATCTATATACATATACATACATATCTATATACATATATACACATCTATATACAAATATATACACATCTATATACAAATATACACACATCTATATACATATATAGATACATCAATATACATATATACATCTATAAATATACATATATATACAAATATATATCTAGACATATATATACACATCTGTGTACATATACATATATACACATCAATATATATATACATAGAGAGAGAGACAGAGAGAGAGAGAGAGGTCTTTATTATAAGGAATTGGCTCACTTGATTATAGAGGCTGAGAAGTCCCCTGATCTGCAGCTGGTCAGCTGGAGGCCCCAGAGAGTGGATGGTATAAGTCCCAGTCTGAGATGGAGTCCCAGCTCAAACAGAGAGCTCCCTTACTCAGATCTGTTCTATTCAAGCCTTCCACGGATTGGATGAGGCCCACCCGCACTGGGGAGGGCAATCTGCTTTCTCAGTCTACTATTCAAATGTTACTCTCATCCAGAAACACCCTCACAGACACATCCAGAATATGTTTGACCAAATATCTGGGCAACCCTTGGCCCTGTAAAGCTGTTGCATAAAATTAACCATCTCAAAGATGCGTCAGCAAGCGCTTAGTCATCCCATGCAACAGGAGGCGGGGATGCCCCCAGGTGGCCCCTGGCCGAGACCAGCCAGTCATTCCTTTATTGGCTGCCTGCAAATGTACTCCATCCGTTCCCTCACTACCCCCTCCTCCAGGTACTACATTGGGGACACCCTGAAGGGTCCAGTGTGTCTGTTTTGTGCAGGAGGTAGGCAGGCGCTGATCGGTTCCTGAAAGGCTGGAGGGGTGTGCCTTCCCCACAAGCCCCAGGAGGGTGTAACACCCCATGTGATGACCCACCTGTGTGTCAGGTTCCCCAGGGGGTGCCTGTTGTCTCAGGAAGGCCATTTTAGAGAAATATAATAAGCAAGCTCACTCATGAAAACTTGGAGGCACTAAAGTTCAGAGACTAATTAAAAATAAATCTCATTAGTTTTTTCCCCTCTCAAACTATGCTAGTGGTTTATTAATCTGGTTTTGATTTGCTGCATGTGTTGGTCTGGCCCTGAGTTGGGCATCTCTTTATGGACTAGATTTGTACAGGGAAGCCAGCTGTGGTTCTCCAGGGGTCTCAGGGTGGGCTGAGGGGCATGCCCAGCACTGCCCACCCTTCTGGGTGCTGCCTCAGTGATATAGCAGCTGAGCGCTGCCCAGGCGGGATGCACGGAGTGCCCTCCTTGGCTCTCACCTGCATTCTTGGCACCAGACCCGAGGCTCCTCTGTCCTGATGGAGCCAAAGGGGACTGTGGAGGTGAGAAGGCTTCTCTCCTGCAGCCCCTCCAAAGGGTTGTGTGCCCTCCCTGTGGGGAAGGCACAGCCTGGGAGTTTT